CGGCATGGAAAAACTCTACGGCGTACCCAAATCTGGAAGGTGGAGTCTAGTCATTCTCCCCGCTTAGATCCGCTTTGGGTGTACTTCACTTAGACCCAGTATTCCAAATTTGGCTGTGTTTAAGGAGAACAAGGAAGGAGGGGACAGAGGAGGGAGTGAGGTGAGAACGAAGGGGAACGATTCTGGGGAGAAAGGAACAGAGAGGTTTTTTTTTTAAATTAAATGTAATTGTTAAATTGTTAAATAAATTTTTAATTTTAATTTTTAAATAAAAAATTAATAATTAACTAAAATTTTGTTTTAGTTGGCAAAGGAGTGGGCTCTTGCCACGTCATTATTTAACAGTTAAATTGACAAAAAATTTAATAGAGATTTAACATTACAACGAAATCATAAGTTGAGGTATAATATTGCAATGTTTAAAACATGAGATATGAGATTGTGGTTCGACCTATAGTAGAAATTGTTTTGTATAATTTACCCAAAAAAATAGCAATAGGTGCAACTTTTTCATCTTCAATTATGTTTTGTTGTGCAAGTTTATTGTCCTTTTACATGCATACACAATAACATTCGAAAACTTATGTGAAAATTCATCGTTGAACATGTTTTTTGAAAGTAATTGTTGGAGAGTGATACTGAGACCAGAAAATTAACAGACCAATTGTCAGAAAATTTAATCGATCGATAGCAAGAAAAAGTTGATTGAAAAACATGATAAGACTGAGTGGAAATCATATAATTATTCTAAATTGTAGTAGTATTTATACTATTATTTTGGTTAACTAGGCTTTAGCTTTTCTTAGAATTATATTTAAACTAAAAGATCCCCAAGAATTATATTTAGTTATTGACATGTCACTTAAGTGGACGAAATGTGAATAAACATGACAGTAAGAAAAAAATTAGTCATTTATAAAAGTTTAAGGGTGAAAATTAGCCAAAATAAAAAAGGAAAACTAATGAAAAGGGCTTGAAAACTTTGAGTTTTAATGATAAGGACAAAATAAAGGGTAAAGTGAATAGTACCAGGATTGACTTTTTAGTGTAAAAATGTGGTTTTTCGTTAAAGTGAACAGTACCGAGTGCTTTTCATTAAAGTTCCCAAATAAAAATTTAAGGAACAAACCGGCAATGAGGTACAAGTTCTCGAAATCAGCTAAGTGTTAAGAAAAAAAATAGTACTATTCACATAGTCATTTTTACTTCTAACACATCATTGTTAATTTTTATCTATTAATCTTTTTCAATTCATTCAATTTGACGGCTAAAAATTAAAGAGATATTCATCAATTCCCCTCCTGAACTTGTGACCATTGGCCAATTTCCCCCCTCAACTCTCATAATTAGTCAATTTCCCCCCTCAACTTTAATTTGGCCAATTTTCCCCCTCAACTCTCATAATTAGTCAATTTGCACCCTACTGTTAATTTTTTTTTAATTTTCCATCTATTCTTTTTTTTTTCTTTCAATCTTTCTAATAACTTCCAACAAAGTACTAAAATTAACATAAACTCACCTGTATAATATAGGGTAAAATGTACAAAAACATAATCCAATTAGTATGTGATATGGGTTGATTATAAGAAAAAGTTATAAATCGGGTTTAAAGCATGTAGAAGAAGAAATAATAATCCTAAACTCATGGATCGGACCTATTTCAATAAAATTGGTTATTCTTAATAAGGAGTCGAAAATTATGAATTGACTAGCCATTTTTGCACTAAAGCTCGATTCTCCGCAATTTACTTGAACTTAGCTTTCACTTTTATAAAGAAAATTGTATTCACATACAAAAATGTACACATCAATCCTTTTGTTATCAATTTTGTATAGTAAAAAATCAAATAAAATTATTCCATACTGATTTATTATGACTAATAATACTATCTATGATAAATTGTAAAATTCTAAATTTTAATCTATTTGTAATAGGATAAAGACATAGGAAAATGATTAACATAAATCTTATTTAGTTTCTTACAAACACTTGTTTAATTATGATCAAATTAAAAAATTAACAGTATGGTGCAAATTGACTAATTATGAGAGTTGAGGGGGGAAATTGGCCAAAATTAAAGTTGAGGGGGGAAATTGGCCAATAGTCACAAGTTCAGAGGGGAAATTGATGAATACCTCAAAATTAAAAAGGGTGTGTGAAACGTAAAAATTGGTGTGTAGATAGCACTATCCAAAAAACAAATGAGACTATTGCATTTAAAGGGTTAAATTTCCTTCTCTACAAGGAAGCATCTTCGTTTGAAGGATTCTGTTAGGCTTGTCTTTTTCCACAAAATTGGGGATGGTAGGAGAACCCTTTCTTTGGTCTAATAATTGGCTTCTGTTAGGTCCTCTTGTTGTTTGTTAGTAATACTTTGAATGGTTCTAATTGGTGCTAGTCTCACAATTCTTCTCATTGAAATTTAAATTTCTATGTAATATTGTTCAAATCCTAGCTTTGCTAATATGATTCGATGGACTCCTTCATCGTCTAGCATCAACTTTGTGGCTTCTACTTGGGATAGGTTTCGGCAATCTAAGTCTAATGTAGGTTGGTCTAAACTTGTATGGTATAATCAAAATATTTTCAAGATGAACTTCATTCTTTAGTTGGCCATTAAATGCAAACTTCCTACTATGAATAGGATTTTGACTTTTGCTTTGTCAGATCAGTCACTTGCGCCATCTGCTCTAGTGTTATGAAGCCTCGTTGTTACCTACTCTAGTATTTGCTCTTTGGTGTTGCTCAAGTGCGGTGTCCTTTAACTAAGGTTTCCTTGGTCTCTTTTTTGTTGTGTCTTGTTGCTACCGTATTATGTATGGGGACCAAACCAACCGTAGATTTAAGAATTCATGTCAACCCGTTGCGGTGGTTCTCAACTTAATTAAGTCCATTGATAGGGATTTTACCACCTACAAAAGTAGGGATAAAAACATTTTAAAATACTTGCAAGAATACAAAGTTATCATAGTATAGCAGCTCAAGTAAGGTTGATCTTCTTAGGGATTGAATGAATAATTTATGTTAAAACCAAATCTTAATTAATTATTTGAAAACAAAGTTTGGAAGAGGGTGGTTTTATGACCTAAATTAAGAAAAACGAATTTAATTAAAAACAATTAAATAAATTGGGAAAATAAATAAAACAAAAGAAAATAGTTTTGAAAATAAATTTGAGCACTAGGGTTCCACCGTCACCTTAACAATCCTACGTAGTTCTTCCAATTACTTATGACTTACACATGCATATTTGAAGATTAGGTTTTCCTAACGTATGCTCTATTTGGAACCTCCAACATAGAAGGTATACTTAACATGCAACCCGTCCTTGGTGTCCAGATCAAATGTGAACATGCAAGTCTCATTAAGTTTTGTGAAATCCTTTTGAAAAACCATACAACCCTTAAGACGTGTCGTCCATCCTAAAAAGTTACACAAATTAATCACAAGAAGCCAGCGCCAATTTCATGGATAGACCTTTGCCAAAATTGCATCAAATTACTTTTCTAAATATCATAATGGTGGCCAATCATCAAGACGATTAAACAGTTTAAAGTACAATGATTAATAATTCAAAACTTGCATGCATAATATCATAAGTAAATTGAAAAGAAACTACATATTCTTGTTAAGGCTCGTGGCCTCACTCTAGCAAACAAAACTAGTTACGAATAATTATAAAACAAAATATTATTAAAGACATGGATATAAAACACCTTGAAAATAAACTTGAATCGTTCAAAACTCTCTAAAGCCAAAGTATTGCGTTCTCCCCTCCCCCTTTAACCTAATGGCTAAATATCTTATTTATACTAATACAAAATAAAACCCTAAGGGTGCGTTTGTTGCACTGGACTAACTCAGACTGGACTAGCTTCAGGGACTAAGCTGGATTAGCTTGGCCTGGACTAAGCAGTACTAAAATTATGAAGTGTTTGGTGCAGGGCCGAACTAGCCAGGATTAAATTTTTATTTTTTATTTTTTTATATTTAATTATGAAAACTTCCACGATAAAAGATGCTTTATTGAAAATATTATTCATCTCATAAACAAAATGGGGAAAGGATTTTGCTTTACATGAAAGTCTACATATTTTTTTCACCATCAGCCATCAATACATTTACAAGTTGCAACTACTTGTGCTTAAACTTGAGTTCCTTCGCATATTCTTCAGTGCCCTTCAACTACTTATGTAGATCTTCCATGCTTCAATTGCAACTGCACAGGCTATGAGGTGTCCAGAATATGTAAACCCATGAGAAAAAGAACCAAGCTTGCTGCTCTAAGAGTGTATGACATCTGAAACTTCTGGGCTCACAAGAATGCTGATTGGCATATATTCATAAGAAGAGCCTTTCCCATAGATACAAGGTCTGGTTTAATGTTGTATTTGTCACACCTATACATGTAGCCAAGCCTTTCAAATGCATAGATTACATCGTTCCAAATGCACATATTACATCATCATAAATAGAATGCAACAATTGTCTCTGGTCCTCTGGTCTCTCGGTGTGCAATACAAATGGAGCTGGAAGATCAAACTTTTATGGGTAGTCAGTGTGCAATACAAAGGGAACCATAAAGAGATGCTCATGTAGACTTCTAGATACAAATGCCAACTAGAACACATGAGCAATGAACAATAATTTGGTAGATAATATTTTGAGTGTCATTTATGAACACTAAAGTTAAACTAATGCCACCACGGCAATAAAAATGACTGACTAATAAACAATGAAGCACAAAGTAAATGTTTGCAGGTTAATGAAACAGAAAGCTACTGAGAATAAAAGCTAACTGTGTCGCAAAGACCTGTAAACTTCTATGTACGCCCTGTTAAACGAAATGTCCAGCCACAGATAATAAATCTGGACATCAGATACCATGGGCAAACAACTCCAAAAAGATACAACAGCAATACATATTCACACAGACGACCACATATTAGACACAACAAGAGCAAGAAATCACAAATGAGAATGAACTAATCGTTCAAACAGCAATCTCAGTCGAAAGATGGTGATTTTAACTTACTAATCACAGAATATCATTAACGTTAAATATTTGCATCATAGATTGCAGACTTACTTCCAAAAAGATACAATTGAAAAGTTAATAATCCTAAGCAAACAAAATAAATTACTGAAATGGTAAACAAAATAAATCATATGGTAAAAACCCAGACTTTTATTGCTCTAAAAGATCAGATAGTCGATCACTAATTCACCCCATTGCATCTAGATGCAAGTAAGACAGGTCGTAATAGCTATCCTCATATCCATAAAAAACCAAGTTCAAATAACGAAATGGTAAACATAATACCGCACCCACCACCGCCACCAATTCAACCATTAAATTAACCCACTTCACAACTACCTACATCATTGGAATTTAAATCAATTCTAAGATTCTAAAAATACATACAGAGCATCAATTCTAAGAATCATACACAAGCAATTGTACCTCTCATAGAGCTACATAACAATGTCCTTGCAAAATTCAGTGATTCATGAGATGCAGGCGATACTAAATGCAATCAAATACAAACAAGACTGACAAGTTCAACCAATTTGCTTAATCCAAAATCTCTAAACACAAAATACCCAATCGATTGAGCAAACCATGAACAACAACAAAAAACACCAGGATGATAATTTCCACTGAAAGATTCTTGCACCATCATAAAAACCCAACCCCAATTACACAAACTAAGAAAGCAATCCAACGCAGCAAATGAAAATTAAGAAATCAATATTATGTAGAAAAGGTATTAGAGTTCAAACACCTCTGAGTCCGTCAAGCATCTCTACCCAACTACAATTCAATAGAGATCGACATGAAAGACCAGAAAATCCAAATGAATTTAGAAATCAGAAAGCTAAGGCCCCCAAATCCAACGCAGACTTGTTCGTCTTCTTTTCCTTCTGCTGATGGGACTCCTATTTCACGACGCAGCAGAAAGCACCAAACGAAGACCATTGCCATAGATACAAGTCCATCGTCGATTGTTTATATGTTGGACGGCTACCAGGTGGTGCGACAAGGAAGGAGAAGGGAAAGGGCGAAGGTGCGAAGGGACGAGGAGTAAGCTGCAGTTGCAGCGGTTGATGTGCGAAGGTGCAAAGGAGAAGGGAGATGACGGGATTAGAGGGCAGCTTAGCAATCCTTTCTGAATCGGGGGGTCTCGCTAAGACCTGTTAGCGAGGGACTCAGTCGAGGCGAGTCCCTGCTAATCCCACTAAACTTAGTCCGGGTAAGGAACAAACACAAGATTGGACTAAAACTTAGTCCAGTCTAGTCCAGTGAAAGATAGTGAGTCCAAACAAACACACCCTAAAAGGTCTTAGAATAAAATTAGGAAACCTAATAAATTGAAATAAAATAGGAAACATAATCCTAAATTAACTTGGTAAATTCACCAAAAAATCTGCACAGCCACGTTTTGGATCCAAATTGGCTCCAAAATTGGCCCAAAATAGCTGGATTTAAAGCTTGGACTATTCTAAACACTTCTCCAGAAGGCCATGAACCCATCTGAGGTCATCTTGGGCTCCAAAAACACAGTTTAAGCCCATAAACGTCACTTTCCAGCAACGCGCACTGCTCCTTCATTTAATCACTAGAAAATAATCGCTTGGTAGAAAAATTCCAAATTTTGATACGAATAAGATAAGGAACACATGAACGTCCCCAAATTTGAATCACTCTAAAATTCATCAGTTTGATCAGGTTTTGCTCCAGAGGAAATCGAATGTCCTATAGTAAAAATATAAAGCAAAGTATCAAAATCCTACCAAAATAACCAATAAATTATAACTAAGATTAGGGTAAAATATATAATAAAATATTGACTCATCATCCACTATTAGACTTCGGTTGAGTTCCTTGTAAATCGCCATTTCCGTTACTAATGAGTCTGTTTTATAAGAATGGAATATCAAGTGTTTGTTGCTGCTGCTTTGGTGCAGTGTTGTTGGTAGATGCTTTTTATTTTTTTGGTGATTACAACTCTTTGCTGCTTGTTTGTAAAGTCTTTTCTCGTCAATATATTTTATTTATAAAAAAAAAAAAGCTTAGATTCGTTATTAATGACGAACTTGGTGAAGCTTGATTTTTTTGCACTTAACATCACTGGAAAGAACCACCTTACATGAGTCGTAGATGACAATATCCATCATGAGGCATGAAATTTTGGGACACCATTAAAGAAACCGGTTGCAACTCCCCACCACCCCAACTTCACTGTCTCGAACTCCGACGAGAGTGGTGACTCCCCACCCGATTGCTTTTGAACGAAATCGGCTAGAATGAGGCATCCGTTTTGTGGCATCGAGCATTTCTAGAGGAGAATGCTATTGACGAAGATGCCGAGGTCGTGGGTGGCGGGGGTGGGGTGGGTTGAATGATGAGATCATCGGATGGCTGCAACTGCACGGTGGCTAGAAGTTTCTGACACTAAAGGAAATCATGCAGTCGTAGTACACGTCATGGGGTCACCGAGCAGGCTCTGATAACAAAACCAAAAAACTGTAACAGATTACTAAAGCTTAAGAAATGTAGAGAGAGAAGGATGAACACTCGGAGAGGAAAGTAGAATTCGTTCTTGTATTATTTTCTCAGTAAACACAAATGAAGTACAACCAGTCCTTTTATATCCCAAATGAGTCGTACACTACAAGCTACAGTATTAACTAACTTTTAACATCCTCTAACAGCTCTAACAAACTTATGCTGACATGGCCTTGCCGATGTGTCACTCCAACAGGCTCACCCTGGCATACGCTCTGTATTGGACCACCACCGCTTCCGACAACGACAGGACAGTGAAAGTAAAGATTGAGGTTTTAAAGAGAGAGAAAAGATTTGGAGATTGGGGGATCGAGAAAGAGGAGTTTTTTTTCTCTTGTAAGCCGTTTTTGCCATGTCTGCAGTTAATAGACAAATTGACGGACAAGGAGACAGAGGATTAAAATTGCAAGAAACTCGGAAGTCAATTCAATACAATACAATCCATCCTTTCATGTTGTTTGCACTACTCTGAAATTTTGCTTACTAACCAGATCGAATACAAACAACCGTGCAAAACACCTGAGCTCAAAGAAAAAATTTATAATGCGAAAATCACGCATTTCTGGATTCATCTAATCGAATCTAACCAGCTTCTTGATCACTAATCAGCGTCAGATTTAACTACCTTCTTCATGGGATGTTAACAAGCTTTGGCCGTCTAGTTTCTGGATTCACCTCTACTCGAAGACCAAATTGAGCAATTTCTGGTGTATCAACAGCCCTTTGAATCTCCAATTCAGCCACTACCCTTTCGTTTTCTTCGTTGCCTTCGAATAAGTTCCTCACGCACCAAATGCCCCACTCCCTTAAGTACGGATTGTCGTCATCAAGGCCACACTATTGCAAGAGCAAAAGAATCCCATCCTTTTGTCTAATCTCATCTTGTACAAGCTTCCTTTTATATGTGCAATTGCCAATGACTGCCACTATGTCTCTCCGAAATCCTTTATAAGGGCAGGGTTTTAAGGAAGAAGGCTTTGGTCCATCTTGGTCCTCACCTTGCTTGATAGCTTTCCTCATTACTGATGTCGGCTCAAGATCACGAATCAAACATAAAAGAAATTCTATGAGGCCATGGGATAGCAAAACATCAACAGCATCCCCCAGGTCCTCATTAGAGCCTCTTACGAACTTCTGAGCACATACATCTCTCAGGATTGTGAGTGAGAATCCTAGAACATCATAATAGAACATGTTGGAAGTCCAGACTTGCCTTTTGCAGCATAATTAAGAATCCCAACAGATTTCTTAAATATCCCAAAGACACACAGTACAAAATCACTAGGCACAGTAATCTCTTGAAGCCGCTCATTCAAGATGTCAGATATGTTTCTCAAGAAAAATGCTTGCTCAGTTGAGAAAACGTCTTCTCTAAATTCAGTGTCTTCGCCATTCTCAGTAGCACCAAAAAATCCTAAATTTGAGAAAAGTGACTGGAAGTAAGGTCATTCTAAGCAGGTTCTTGAAAGAATCAACTTGTACCAATCTTCTCCGAAACCAACCCGAAAGGTTAAAACAAGGCACAGATTAGGGTTTGTTTCATTAATATTAGGTTTCAGCAAAGGAACACAACTGAAGCTAAGGCGGATGGTATCAAATGAATGTACAAAGTTACCTGCAGCCGTAGTCTTTACAATCTTTTTCAGGATAGTTATCCCACGATCACCACAAAGTTGGGCCAACAGTTCAGGGCTTCCATTACAACAAGCATAGATAACCATGCACAAGGGATCACTAGTTTCCCGGCTCTGAACTCTTACTATAGCAACAAATTCTTTCGGAAAAAGTCGCTGCCAAATTGCACACCGATGCCGTTGTCCAGCCATGAAACATTAGCGAGAACTTGCAACCATCTGAACGATCCCAGTATCTGGCTCCGAAGAAAGACTTGCGGAGTTCAAAACATTCAATATGATTGCCACTCCATTTCGTTCAATAAATGAGTCCTGATTTGCAATCTCTCCCGCACATAGATTTCTTAGGAGCTTTAAACATAATGTGAGAAGATGGCAACCAGAAGGGTAAGGGAGAGATTGTACGAGCTGGATGACAGAGGGAAGAATATCCTTAGACGCAAGGCCTGCACGACCATCCGCAGTTCTACAAACTTGTATTAAATTTTCCAACGAATTTACGAGGGTAGATGAGTTTCCCACACTTAAAAATGTCCGGAGAACATCTTCAGGTACAGACCACTCTTGCAGTGCTGTATTATCAACTGATATCAAAACCAAAAAGTGCAGAAATTTCAATAGCTAAATTGGGCATAAATAACCGTGGTAGAAAAACAAAAACTATATCTCAATCATTTCTTATTTAACATGAAATCAGACAAAAACTATATATGCTGAATTGAACGACAGTAAGTACTTCATCCCACCCAGAATCCAAATCCACCAATTCAATGCCAAAAAAAAAAAAAAAAAAAAAAAAAAAGACAATTCACAAATTTTTTGAAGAAAAAACAGCAAATTCAGGGTAAAGTAAATTTACCTGCCAAGGTCGATCAAAACCCCAATTGGTAATTGAAGATAGGGAAAGGGACAAACCCAATTGAAATTTTTGTTCTTTGTCTGAGACCCAATTGAAATTTTGCTCAGCTGCGAAGCTGAAACATTGAAACTGAAAGGGGTAGACGGCTAAATGGTGAAAAGATGACAGATTTTTCAGTGTGACTGGTACACGGAGTGGTACTCGTGTCACTAGACTTGTAAACGGGTCGCGTTTACTGGGTTTGGATCGGGTTCAACCCAACCCGTTAATTTAATGGATCATCCAAATCCAACCCGTTAAGCTAACTGGTCACACAAACCCAACTCATTAGTCTAATAAGTCACCCATTAACGCCCATTAACAATTTTTTTTATTAAATACCCTTCCATAGAGCAATCTCCACTTCAAGCAAGTTCGTTCCATAGGCCCACTGAAAAACAAGATCATAACAACATTGCCAAAAAACTTTCTCCATCGAATCAAATTCCCTATCACCTAATTCACCGTCTCTGATTCCTTAACCCCAAGATGCACAGAAGGTAGTTTTCGAGGATTAAATTTCTTCCGGCTTGCATGGCCAATGATTGTTCTTGGCTTATCTAAATTCATGATCTTCTGCCTCGGCTAAATATACCCCACAGAAAGTAGATCTTGAAGCCAAGCTGCAGTGAACTTCACCTCCTTCTCAGAGAGTAGACAGCGTGAGGATTTCATTATTGACTATTCAAATTACAAAAAAGCCCTCAATAACGGATGTTAACAGGTGGTTAATGGGTTTCGCGGGTTCACCCAAAATGACCTATTATGTAACAGGTGATTAACGGGTTGACCCGTTAACCACTTGACCCGTTAAACACTCACCCAAATACTCATTTTAAAGGGTCGGATCAAGTTGGGTTTGAAATGCCAGGTCTACATGTCACTATAGAAAAGATAAGATATGTGTGCTAAAAAGTTAATAACTTAAAAAATAAAATTTCCCTTCATTCCCATTAAAACACGTGGTGTACCACTTGTATTCCCATCACAATTAAAAATTTCTTGTGAAAAGATTGTCTAATTTGGGAGAAATTTTTAGTTGTGACGGGAACACAAGTGGTATACCACATGTTTTAATAGAAGTGGTGAGAAATTTTATTTTTTAAGTTATTATCTTTTTTAGCACACATGTCCTACCATTTGTATAATAACACGTGGTGTACCACTCCGTGTACCGGTCACACTAAAAAATCTCTCCTAATTTGGATAAAATTCATCTCCGCTCAAAGACTAGGTTAAAACTTAACGGAGCCTCAAAGAGTCATTGGGCTGGCCAAGCTAGGCCTTATACCAGCTATTTCCTGGGCTAGCAGCAGATGCTGCAGTCACTTTCCAGGTTCAAAGCCAAGGTTTAAAAGAGTCCAACATTTGAATCTCCAAATTAGGGTGGGCATAGGCCGGGCTGGGCCCAAATTTGGAGGGACCGGACCCGCTTAAAAAGAAAACGAGACGGGTCGGGAGGGGTATTGCAAATCTGATCACTAGAACCAGACCTAACCTAACCCGTTTCAAATGGGCCAGTTCGGTACGGGTCCATGGGTCCTCTTACTTCTTCTTTTTTTCCAGTTTTGATCACCTCATGGACTCACCATCCTCTAGATCTTCAACTTGGTATTTTACATCAAGACCCTTATCCGATGCGCGCTGTTTCTAAGCGATTATTGATGATGGGGGAGTTGACCATGATGGTCTTGAGCCGCTCGAGGCACTGGTGACGTGTATCAAATCAAATGAGCGGACCATGTATCCGGCATCGGCCAAACAGCTATCGATGTCGGCGGGGGTTTGGTGACAGAGGAGAAGCTGGTGCTGCTGTTGACACCGGAGCAGGTGGTGGAACAATACAGCCCCATAAATTAGGAATTAGAATTGGGTTTTTTTATTTTGTGGGTGGGTGAGGATAAATATGGATTCAGATACGAGGTGGGAGTTTGTGGGATTTGCTGATGAATCTTCTTCTTCCCATGAAGAAGTTAGAGAGAGAATATTGTAGAAAGAGAGTGAGAGTGAGGAAGTGAGCGAGTGGAAAGAGAAGGATGAAGGACATTGTGAATTGACATATCCGAAAGGTGTGAGAAATCAGAGACAGAAGCGTCAAGAGAGAGAATGAGAGAAACTGGGGAAGTGAGAGATCGAGAGGAAGGAGACTGAAGAGAGGAGAGCTTTTCGAGAAGGTGTGAGAAAATAGGAGAGGAATGGGAAAATGTTACAAACAGGTCGGTCCAAGTACCCATTTTTTTTTATACTTCTGGACCCGGCCCGCCCCTAAAATTTCAAAGCCCATCCCCGCCTCTCCCCGCCCCGTTTCTCTTTTTAAAAATTAGGAACCAGCCCCCTACCATCCCTGAACATTGATTACCCGCCCCGACCTGCGATTCCTATACCCCTTTGCCCACCCCTACTCCAAATGCCAACTGTCGTTACTTACCCATTATATATGTACGAGGTCTTTAAGGAAGAGATCTCTATTTCTTTTTTATAAAAATAGTGTTTAGTTGTGGGACACATATATTAGGGGTGCAACTCGGGCGGGTTGGAAGGTCAACCCATCCTAACCCAACTTTTACAATTTGGCTCGGGTTTGGGTTGGGTTTTATTCGGGTTCATTTGGACTCGGGTTTAATTGGGTTGGGTTCGAGTTATCCAACTTTTTCAAGTTTAATCTTATAACAACTTAGTTTCCAAGAATTTCAAAAAAAAAAAAACAAATTAAGCCAAGTAGCATCAAAGCTAGCTAACTTTAATTTCATAAATCAATCTACTATAAAGCTTTAGTATTTAAAGACTACGAATATGGGCTGACTAATCAAAGCCTCTATTCCCTAAAAGCTTAAGTAATTTATTAAAAAAATATTAGAAAGGGCGTTCGTTTTTAGACTTGGCTCACTTGGGTGTAGTATGAGCATTAATTGATATGGGTTACAATCTAGTTAAATTGGGTTTGCTTAGTCGAGTTAGGTTAGGTTGGGGATGGACGGGCAAATGATCAACCCAACTCAATTCAATCAATGAACGGGTTGAAATTGGGTTGGGTTTGGACGGGTTATAACTAAAAAAAAAAAGAAAAAAGACCCACTTGTTCGGGTTTAAAGTCTGGTTGGACATGGGCGAGTTCGGATTGGCTCAACCCAAGTTGCACCCTAACATATATTATATCGAACTTTAACGATCCGAATGTCTATTTTTCAAGTTGCAACTGTCGATCATCTTTGCAAAATATTAGCCAAATCGGAAATATTTGAGGCATCTAATTGTAGGGGTGGGCAAACAGGTATAGGAACCACAGGTCGGGCGGGTAATGCAGGTTTGGGGCGTTACACGTCCCGCCAATTTATTTCGTAATTTACCTTTAGTGGTAGGCCAAAAATGTCATAGTTACCCTTTATGTTAATAACCATTCTAACATTTCTCAATTTGACGATTTTCCACTAAAATTTAATCTCATTTATTTTATGGCTGCATCTAAAGACTGCCTATGTACCCTTTGGAGGGATCAAGCCAATCGTAGTTCACAATTCACAAACGTAGATCAATGACAATAAAATAAAATAACAATTCAATATAAATCACCTATATTATAGTCACTCATACGTAAAACAAGACACCCGTCGTCGCAATGAGCCCACTAAGCTTCATGAAATGTCAACAACACTCTAAGATAAACGGCACACTAGAAACTCAGTTTAGTTGACTATAAAAAGTCAATCGTCAATCAAGACCGAGGATAGGGTTCACAACCCTAGAAATCTAAATCGGAAGATCTGCCTATCATATTTATGATCCGTAACTTCTTAACATCCACAATATGCCGCTAGAATAACATAATAAAGTTTCATTACGATCCAACAGCTGGATCTCCGCCAATCGTAAATTCAAGTGGCGGAAAACGTTTGATGTTACAAACTTAGAAATCCAATTCAGGAAGATTCGTACATCAGATTCCTAATCCATAAGTTCCTATTGTCCTCAAATATTATGTACTATTACGTATTAAAGTATGGTGACGATCCAATAGTTGGGTCATCAATTCATATAATGTCCAAATGGCGGTCCTTATCAAAACTATAGTCATACGACAAGATTTCTTCAATTGAACATCACATATGGAAATCAGGGTATTCAAATTAGTCTAGGAAGGACAAGTGAGGTCTCAGCCCATGCACCGCCGCCATGCGCTGCCACACACGGCAACCGGCCTCCCCGAGTCGCCGAATAATTCAACTATTTCCAAAATTACCAAATTTCACAAAAATGTAGAGCAAGCCAAGGGAAAGAACTTTCATACCTAGGCCGAAGTCCAATTCGGTTTAGAAAAGCCTGAAATCAACCTTGATCCGCCGGAACCCTAGAATTGGGTGTTCCTTGATTCGTCCTCAAATTGACTCCGACGCTCCAACCAATGATTGGGAATTGTTCCTGAGCTCAAGGCAGGTATTTTGATGGTGAAGATCGATGGGGAGGGTTGCAGAAAATGGCGAATCATCGCCGGGTTACCACCATACCTACCAGTGCTTTTTCCCACGAAACTGAGGCCAATACTTTTGATTTTTGGTTGAAATTGGAAGGGGGAGGATTGTGGAATATCTTCTAGGTGGTGAGTGGCTTCAATTTGTCAGAAAATCATTGGAAATGGTGTCGAAGGCCATGGAATCCATTGGGTCGGGTTGTGGGTCAAAAAGGGGTCTGGTTCCTACTTTTTCTTCTCCCTCATCTCCCCTCATTTCCTCATTTCCTGATTGGCCAGTCCCATTCCTCCTTCCTCTCCTTCTCTTCTCTCTTCATCCCAGCCGTCCATCTCTCTCTTTTCTAATATTTTCCTTTCATCCTAGCCACACGCGTGGCATATCACATGGCTCCAGAAAATCTGGAGCCTTCTAAAGAAGGTTAAAATTACCAAAATGTCCTTAACTTTGCTCATTCATAACTTATTCGTTATAACTCCGTTTCACGAACAGTTTGCGCCTACACGCTCTTGAGATCAAGTTCTATCCAAAAATATCAAGAAATATGATAAAATATATGAGGATAAAATAAGTCCTACGTTTACCAAAAATGGGACATTTTCGTCATTTCCCACTTAAAGAAAAATTATACGACATAAATAATAATAAAATCTGGAAGCGGGATTTCACATTTTCCTCATTCGAGTTTCATAACCATAACTCGATCTTCCCTTCCCCTCCCCCCCCCCCTCAACCCCACATAACCATAAATATAACTAATTTATATTTTAATTTTTCAAGGTATTACAGGGCGGGTACGAGGCGATTCCAATTTTTTTTAAAACTAAACGGGGCGGGGCGGGGACGATGGTATGTAAAGGGCGGGTCAGGTCCTAATATTTAGA